TGTTTGATATATTTCATAGCCAGGGAGTTTATGCTCATGACAACTCTTTACTCCTATCTTAATGGTAAGTCTGATAGCTTTGAAAACTTGTTAGGTGAGGTAAGAAATGTCTTGTTAATTTTACACATCTCCAAAACAAAATTTCTTTCTTTTAATCATGTTAGAGAACCTATTTTGCATTCTATCAATATGGCTGATGCTAATGTCCAGGAGAAATCATTGCACCTCTTCAGGCTAGCATTTTCCACTAATATAAAATAGAATGATTATATTAAATCAGCTACTAGGTCTGTTGCTAGGAAAGTTTGTTCACTGTGGTGTTCTAGAAAATTTTCTTGCCAGAATCTATCTTATACTTTTATAAGTCTATTCATGCATGGAATATTACCGCCACATCTGGTTTGGTGATTCTATGTATTTAGAGAATCTTGATAGAAGAATCTGCAATGTTAATGGACCTGAGCTGGCATCCTGGCTTTATTCATTTTCTGATTGCTGTAATGTAGCGTTCCTGTGCCTTTTCTATAAATATTTTCATGGTAATTGTTCTGATAAGATTTCCTCTTTGGTTCCTTAAGTTTATGAATTTAAGTGCAGTACTAGATTGGCAACTAGGTCTCATCATTTTAGAGTTAAATTGATTAGATGTAACTAATTTCTATGGTAACAGTTTCTTCTCTAACATTTCTTGCTTGTGGAATTCATTTGGTTTCTTGCTTTTTTGTTGACTTTGATCTTAAAAAATCTAAATGCAGTGTTAATCATCATCTTCCATCTCTTTAAATCCTCTTTTATTGTCCTCTGTTTTTTCTCAGATTCTTTCATACTTAGTAACCACTTGCATCTAAGTGGCTTTATTGCCTTGTTTGTGATGATATTGATTAAAAACAAAACAAACGAACAAAAAAAAAACATTACTGGTTTTTAATCAAATATTCAGCTATTGTCAAACATAATGCACTATAAATTTTCCACCTTTCCCTTGCAAATTTTCTGCTGGTACATGTTGGTTAATCCAGGCATCTAACGTTTGATCTGTTCTGTCTACATAGTTAGCATCACACTGACATCTGAATTTGTAAATTACAGAGTTAATATGATGGGTAGACAGAGCATAGTTCCAAATCAAAGTGAAAATATAGGAAAAACAAGTCTAATGAAATATAGACTTTGGCAAAAAAAAGTTGGTTTTGAATGAAATTTAAAAAAATGTTTTTTCCTATTTTTCATATGTGCTAGTTTTACTGTTCACTGTAAATAATATTAGATTTTCATTACATAAGTAATGTTTGAATATTTTGTCCTACTCCTAAAAAACTTTGTTTAAAAACATTTTTAATCTCATTAAAGGTTTCATGAACACATTAATATAAAAAATTAGATCAAAAGGATTAATAAATGCAATATTTTAATATTTTACATCCTACGGAATTAACCCTTTGGAGATAGAGTCTCATTTGGAGTTTAGTGCCAAGAAGATGGAGCCCTTTTCATAAGCCTTCACTTGGAAGACAAAAAAAATCGATATAAAATCACAGACTATCATAGAAACTGCCATTGAAAGGCTCAGATGTGCAAAAAACATGAGAAGCACTCTGATTGGCTTGTATGAAGACCAGCCAGCAAATCTCAAGGTTTGTATTATTGGGCCAATGGATCAGCCAGGCCAATGGATCAAATGGGGCGATGGATTAGCTGGGTTGATGGATCAACCTTTCTTTGTCATTTAACTTTTTGGTTGATAGATCAGTGTTGTCGTCTCTTAAGGGTTAATAAAATAAAAATAACTTTCAGTGTATTGGGTTATAAAAACACTTTATTATACAAGAACCTTAACATAATAATAAAAAAATAAAAATTGTACGGGTTTAAAGCTTGGAATAATTAATAAGCCAACACTTAAATTATGTGACAATAAATTTATAGGTTATTGTAACCTATTTAATATGCAAGTGAATTAGTATTTACAGAAAAAAGTTTTGAACAGAATTCTCTTTTAGAAAAAAAGAAAGATGTATGGTATACTTTATTAGAATTAAAAAAGATAACTTGATTTTGAATAGAAAATGTCAGAGAAAATAAGTAATAGTTTTATTCATTTAATGTATCTTATGATCAACTAAATGTTGGTGATAGAAAAAAGATATATTAAATTATAATACTACTTATTTTATTAAAAATATTACCCATTTTAAATGAAAATATTACATTTTACAAAAAAGCCAAAGTTATATTTTCCTATCCTAACAAAGTCAATCTTATAAATTTTTCCTATGACTTCCTCACTGATTAGCAAAATTTCCTTTGCTAATTGACATTTTTTTATCCTGAAGTTTAAGGTTATTTTTAATTCAGATTTGAAATTTATTAAAAACTTGGAAAGTAACAAAGTTAAGAAAATAAAAATTAAAAATTAAATTAACATATAGTATAACCCATAAATAGGTACACTCCTACCAATGTTTTAAGTTAATTTTCTTTTGAATCAAACATACCAAGAATTTATTATTTCTAGTTGAACATTATGCACTCAAAACATTATTTGCTATTATTCATTACCATTATTATTCATTGCAACTCTGGAACAAAAATTATGAATAGGTAGCAGTTCAAAAATAAATACATTCCTGGGAAAATTTTAATTTATTTTTTTTAATTATTTCACCCTAAGCAAGGCAATAAAGCCACTAAGACATAAGGGTTTACTGAGTGTGAAAGAATCTGAGAAAAATCAAATTTATAAAAGGAAAATAGTAAATTAACTTTAATATTTCATTCTGTATAGTATATTTTTGAACCTAACTTTTTATTTTTTTTTGTAAGGCTTTCAATAAAGTTGAATACAAATAGAGCATGTAATGTTAAAATAGTTCTTATAAAGACAGTTTTCAGTGTATAGATGTTTATTTATAAAAAGGCTTCAATTGCAAACAAACTCTCTCCTGATTTTAAGAATTTGTTTTTTATTGGTACAAACAGAGCAGCTACAAAAATACAGCTACTGATGTTAAACAAATATATTATTTTAAAAATTGTAAAAAACTGAAAAGGTCTGGAGCAAACAGGTCAATCATTTAAACTGACCCTAACGTCTATTCATTATATAAGGAAATTGGTGGATTATGACATAAAATTGTTTGAAGATATTTGTTGTGTCAGAAACCTACCACCCCTCTTGAAGATGAACTTGTCTGCGTCTGTGAACAAAGACTTTAAATAAAAGGAGACAGATAGACAGAGAAGTTCTTAGCTGAGCTAGTTATTGACTACTCAGGTGATTTCTGTACCTTTTTACCAACCTATTAAAACCCTTTTATTTGTTACTTATTATTTGGCATTTGTCTCTACTAACCCCAAATCAACATCATAACAATATTGTTAATGAAGTAAAAAAAAAAACCCAAAAAAACAAAGTGTGCTATGAATATTTTCATTATGACAATCAAACATATTTTGTACAAGATATGCTTATATGGATGATGAGTGTATAGAAAACTGCTATTGAATTTAAGACAAAAATGCAGCAGAATAAAAATAATTCAATATTTTGGGAAAGCATACTGCAGTCAGATGAAACAAAAATCAGTTTTGAGTTTGATAGCACAAGATTTGATTGACAGAAAAAATATAGCACTCATAAATTTTTTATTTTTAGAAAAATATCTACAGCACATTTCTTAACTGTTTAGACCAAAAACCAGTTTACAATCGGATTTTTTTAATTTTTCCTTTAATTTCCACATGTTGTTGGCTAATCTAGTAGAAAAATATAGTGTTCAGAAATTTTTTACTTTTAAAAACAAAAAAAAACATTAGGAAATCAACTGACCAAAATTACCTGAAGATATCGAAAGGTTGAAACCAAGGTAACAGAATCTGCTGATCTAATTTTTTTATACTTAAAAGCTCTACGTGTTAAATTTTTATTTTTTTATATGTGTATTGAGCACTTTTTAATACTACAGTTTCCTGATTCAACTCTGACCATTAACTTTTTTTATTATATATATATATATATATATATATATATATATATATATATTTGAAAGAATATTTTTTTGAAAGAATATTTTTTCAAGCTAACCAAACTCATCTGTATTTTTCTTTTTCTTTCCATCATATTTGTCCCTGACTATCCCACATTATGACAACAGAAAATCTACTAAGAATAGTGATATACTGTAAGTCATGTCAAAAACTATTGACAATTGTGCCACAAAGGTTTCTTCTTGGGTAAAAGCCAGCATTGATGCTTTTGTGCCATCTTGGAAATACCAGGAGAAACCAGAATCTTTTCTTTGGTTCACAACTGCCTGTTCAGCTACTATACACTATAGAAATCACTTTTTTCTGGCTGTTGTAGTGTATGATAGTTTTGATCACAACAGATGCCTATTTGAGTCCACTTATAATAATTGTAAACATGTTCTCAAAGAGGTTAATTATTTGTTTGCTGAAGCATCATATCGCTTCTAACATGTTTGGTTCACGTGACTACTGGTAGCTCTGTAATAGCGTGTTAAATATGAGTAAGTGCTCTATCCCTCCTCTCTTCACTCAATATAAGGTTTTATCAACTTCTGCTGATAAAGCAGAATGCTTTGCTCATAAATTCTCTTTCAATTCTACTCTTGACTCATCTAGAGTATCTTTGCTTGACTTTCCAATTAGAACTGAGTCACTATTGTTCATGATTTCTGCTATCATCTCTAAAGTTGGTTGGTTGTTTTTGTTTAGTGGCATATCAACATCTCCATCGGTTATTTAATACCAAAATCTAAATATTTTGTATGCAATTTCATTTTATTTTTTGGTGGTAATAATGGTTTAGTGATACAAATCTTACTAATTAACCCATAGATGGAGGAGAAGAGGTGGATTCCTACCTTTACCAAGAGCATTTGCATGTAAGTGAATATAATGACACTGATTGGAATTGGAACATGGTTCTTCAACTAACAATTCTGAGCCATTATCCATTACATCAGCCACAAGCTTACATCTGATATTCCCAAGCAGTCATCCATCTAAGTATTGGCCATGCTCAACATAGCTTAACTTCAATGATCATATGGGAACTGGTGTTCCAATGTGATATGGCCATAAGCCATCACTAAAGTGGATTCATACAATGAATGCAGAACTGATGCTATCCCTGCAATAATCCTAAAGAAACATGTTCCTGAAATGGCTCCTGTTCTCTTTAAACTCTGCAATAACTGCTTTTCTGATTCTTGTTTTCCTGCTTTTTGGAAATATTTTCTGATCTTTCTAATTATCAATCTATTAGTCTTCTATCTCTCTTTGGTAGAGTACTAGATGCTCTTATCAATTCCAAATTGTTTAAGCATCTCGCCTATCAGGGTCTACTTTGAGACAAACAATATGGCTTTTGCTTCTCTAGGTCAGATAATGGTCATTACTTTGAGAGTCTATTGAAATTTCTATAACAATGGTGAACACCAGATTGTTGCTTTGGATATTTCAAAAGCAACTAGGACTAGAAATGACTTGTTAATTTTAATGCTTCCAAAATAAAACTGATTTCTTAAATGTTTTAAAGAAACTTTTTTTACCATATACAGTCAATGATGAAATTATTTGTACACCCATCAAGCTTCACTGTCTTCCCTATCGTGCTGTTAACATAAGAATTAACAATGGTGACACTCTATGCACCATGTGATGTTCTTTGCTGGAATTATCACAAATATTCTACTGAATAAATAGTCTAGAAGGCTTCACCAATAAAATAATTATGTAAATTACTTATACTTACATAAATCAATCAATTTAAAGCAATATTTTATACTGTACAAATAATTTTATCTTTTCCTATTTTGCATAATTCACCTGTCAAATTTGTTGTATTTAACTTATTGTTCTGAAAATTGAGTTTTATATTCCTTTTTTTTGTGCTTATTAACATATGAAAAACTGGCATCATATGAGCATTAGATTCTGAGAAATGGATAAAAATATTCAAAATTGATGGGTGTACAAATAATTTTGTTGTTGACTCTGTCAGCATAACTGACATTAACAATTACATTAAAGCAACTACTACATCTGCTGCTAAGAAAGACAGTTAATTTTGTTATGCTAGACAATTTTTCTTGCAAGAATCTATCTTACACTGTTTTAAGACTATTATTTGAATATTGCTGCCACATGTAGTCTAGTGCTTCTGCTATGTATCTAGAGATTCTTGACAAAATCCAAAGAATAATCTGTCTGACATGGTATCTTGGCTTCAGTCACTTTCTGACTGTTGTAATACAGTGTTTTTGTACCTTTTCTATAAATACTTAATTGGTAATTATTCTGATGAGCTTTCCTCTTTTGTATCTAAATGTAGTACTAGACTGGCAACTAAGTTTTGTCATATTAAAGATGAAATTACAAGATGTAACCATAACAGTTTTTTCTCTCACACTTCACGCTTGTGGAGCTCATCTAGTTTCTTCCTTTCCAGTCAAATTTGATCTTCAGAAATTTAAATGCATTGCCAATCATCATCTTCTACCTACTTAATGCCTGTTCTTTTATTGTCCTCTTTCCTTAATATTTTTATCAGGTTCTTTCAAACTGAGTAACTTTTGTAAATGGGTTGTATTAATTTTGTTGTCAACCATTCTTGGAGAATGAAATCTGAATTCAAACTAGCTTATCAAGGATCGGCAAAAGGTGAATGTGTTTTTTTATAGGAACCAACAACCAACATGCAACTAGGATATGGAAAACTATTAAAATAACCTGTGATATCACACAGTGTAGTAATACATATATATATATATATATATATATATATATATATATATGCATGCAGGGTGTGATGGATAAATTGTCGACTAAATTATGCAAAAATAAAAATAACATATTTACCAAAATTACACAAAAATATCTTGAAATACTAAAGAGTATATTTATTCAATAAAATAACCATTGGCTTAAACCATGGCCTCCAGATGACTTTGGAATCTTCTGCAACTTTTCTGGACAGGCTCCTTGTTTAAGTCGGTGAATGCTGCCATAATCCTTGCCTTCAGTTCATCTTTGGTGTTACAAAGAGTTTTTGTTGGCTTCTTGTTCAACTGTGCCCCACACATAATAATCAAGAGAGTCTGAGAAGTTAGGTGGCCAGATGTAAGGGGTAATGTGGTAGCAGAAATTGTTTGACAGCCATGACTGGGTTCTCCTTCTTGTATGGCATGGTGCAGAGTCCTGTTGCCAGACACAGGGCCTTCCAGCAGCCATACTCTTGACCCAGGGCAGCACTACCTCATCAAGACATTTGATGTAGGCCTTTGTGTTGAGTCTGAAACACTGTGGGAAGATGAAAGGAGGCATAACATCTCCATCACTAGGGATCACACCAAACACCATGATGTTGACTGGATATGTCATCCAACTCTTTCTGAATCCTCTGCACTGTTCTCATATTGACACCCAAACATACTGAAATGTTTGTATTGAAGTTTCCAGCATGAATGCCAACCAGTACAGCATGCTGTTCCCAAATTTCTGGCAGAGTGAATTGCATCATTGTGCTCTTTCTCTCACAGATGGGGCCCAACTGACTCTACTATATACTGTGCAGTTGACAAAATCAAAAACAACACGCATGTGCAAAATTAAAACTATAAAATGGCATCAATTTACCCATTGTACCATATATATATATATATATATATATATATATAATGTAATTTACATACAAGCCTCTTTCGCTATATCACAGCTCATCAGTTCAGCTAGACAACCGAAGGCTTGAAACCCGACTAATTTGGTATCAGTTGGAATACCAGATATTAATATCAAATACCAGATATTAATATCAAATATCAGACATTGATATCAAATATCAGATATTAATATCAAATATCAGATATTGATATCAAATATCAGATATTGATATCAAATATCAGATATTGATATTTCTATCTGGTTGGAGTTTCCCCCCCTAAGTCATCGGTGCTTCATCAGAGAGAAGGATAAATTCTAGCATATTGTTTTTATGAATATAAACAAACGCCAGACAGCCAGAGTGAACAAAATTTCTGCCAAAGGTGTTGAATAGTTGTCTAGAAAAATAATTATTGAATCAAAAATAATAAAGTTCACAATGATTATTGGAAGCCAACTGAGATTTGTGGTTTCTCATTTGTCAGGACTTCTGATAAGAATGTTTGCATTGATTACAGAATCTTTGTTTTATTTTAATAAATACAATAATTCTGATCAGAAATCCTAACAAGTAAGAATTAACAAAACTCAGAGTTAACATCTGATAAAAATTTTGATTCAAAATGTGTGTGTGTGTGTGTGTGTGTGTGTGTGTGTGTGTGTGTGTTTATAAACAAAATAAGTCATTAAAATATAATTTGTTGTTATATATCACTTAAGGATTTTGATAAGTATCTTACATTTATTATTTACTATAAAAAATGTAACTAACTTAATCATTACAATTTACTCAAAAGCTTAAAAATTCTATTTCAGTAAAAAAAAACAATACCCTTTAGAAGATTGTGTCCGCAATACCAAGAATGAAACAACTAAAAATTCATATATTGGTCACACATTATATTGGCCTTCTCTAGGTTAACTTGACTGACTGACTGACTGACTCTCTCTCTCTCTCTCTCTCTCTCTCTCTCTCTCACTCACACACACACACACACACACGCGCGCACGCACAGGCACACACTTTTTAAATGCTAGCATGAAGTCACAATTCATTTTAACCGTGGGCTTGAGCGTGCTGGCCTTGTTCAAATTGCTATCATTTTTAGTGGGTACATGCGCTTGAGTTTCTATCCCTGACTTTTTATTTTCTTAATCAGTAAAATTAATAATAGCTGGCCACTCGTATTTGATGATACCCGAATACTAGGGTAGCTAGCCAATCCGTATCACAGACGCTCACTCAGGCACATTTGAGTTGTCTACCCAATTTTACCCACAAAGCTTGGGTCAACCAGTTGTATAGTTTTTCAGGCACTTTCAAAAGGTGCCACATACTGTGATCAACCTCAATCCATTCTGATAACATCAGAAAATCTCTCCTTCCTGACAAATCGACCATGGGGTGAGATTCAAACACAGGTCTCATAGTCAGAAAGCAAACGTTCTAACCACTTGGCCACATCCCCATATAAATTAATAACAACTGGCCTAGATGCACACATATGACAAAATTCAATATCATAAAAGTTAATGCCTGAAAGGGTTATATATGCATATGTATATTTCTTTGCTCACATTTACAAATTTAAATTTTAAATGAATAAAATAAAAATTATAGATGATAAAAATTTTATTAGTAAAATTTACTCAAGGGAAATAACTCAGGTTACACTAAAATATGAGCATACAAGTTGAAGAAAAATTATTAAGAGAAAAAGCCAAAGGATTTCTATATAAAAACATTTTAATCCTTTTTAGAACCTTTCAAATTTTGGTTAAAAAATCTTGTCTTTCTTGGTGTTAACGTGAGCTCATAAATTTGTATAGGAAATTTGAGTGCCATTTTTGAAATGGAAAACACATTAATGATAGTTTTCAGGACTTATTTACAAATGAATTAAATTATTTTAGAAATATTTCTTTTTTAGAAAATTTTGGTAAAAGTATTTCTATTTTTTACATTTGTTAGCCCACACTTAATTTTATGAAACTGAGAAATTCTTTTTTGTAATGCTTAATTTTTATATTAATTATAAAGAAAAGTCCTAGGAAAATTTAGGAAAGTTGGCTCCCTGTGCCGCGCCAGGAAATTTTTCTCCCCGGAATTGATCCTCCAGATCTACAAATCAACAATTCGCCCTTGCATGGAGTATTGCTGCCATATATGGTCTGGAGCCCCTTCTGTTTGCCTCGGGGTTCTTGATAGGCTCCAGAGGCGGATATGCAATATAATTGGTCCTGATCTGGCATCTCGCCTACAGACACTTTCTCACAGATGCACCATCGCCTCTCTCTGTCTGTTTTACAAATACTTTCATGGCAATTGCTCCGAGGAGCTGCATTCGCTGGTTACCAGACTTTATGAGTTCAAGTGCCCTACGAGGCTGGCATCCCGCTCTCACCCCTTCAATGTCGAAACTCCGAAATGTAGCCGTCTCTTCTACTCCAATAGCTCCATGTCTCGCACCTCTCGCTCGTGGAACTCCCTTCCCTATTCTAGTTTCCCTGAGAGCTATAATCTCCATCTATTCAAATGTAATGTCAATCGACATCTCCAGTTGCCTTGATCTATCCACTACCCTCCTCCTCATCCTTTCTTCTATCACTCCTATCAGATATTGCTCCAAATTTTCTGTAACCCCTTGCGTTCTAGTAGCTTCCCACCTTGCTTGGGGTGAAACGCTTAAAAAAAAAAATTTAAATCATCAAATTTTTTGGATCAAACAGGAAACCCTGTTATAGAAAATCTGCTCTGAATGATAAAATAAAAAAAATGAAATAAAACTAATACTTTTAATTGCTTTATGTATAAAATATATTATGGGCATTATTGCCTTAAGAAAAATATATTTTCTCTGAATAAGTAATATTTACAAGAATTGTTTTCATTTTTCAAATTTTAATTAGAATAATTTATAAACTTTTAAAACTTAAAAGTCTGTATTAATTTGTAGCAATCAAATGATGCTGTTATTAAGCAAAAACTTACTTTACAAATATTTACTAATCATAAATGGAAACGCTTACTACAATTCAGTGACCCCCAGTGTTTTAAAAAGAATTTTGAAATTTCATGTGTGTATAAACATGCCAATTTTTGTAAATACGAACATCTATATTTGATATTATCAGAAAATAAGAGTGGTAGCTATACTTTTATTTCAAATTTATTGATAATTTTCTAACATTTCCTCAAAAAGCATCTTCATACGTAAGACTATGAAGCCAATGTACCTAAAATTCAATAAAATATTAAAATATTTAACATTTTTAATATTACTGGGTAGTTAAAAAATTATCTAAAAAGGTGTTTATGTTGTATTTGTCATGTAATTTTACTACAATTATTTCACCCTTACATAAGTCTTGTAAACATAAGGTTATTGATAAATGTCTCAAAACCTCATAAAAACACTCACTTGTGATAAAAAAAATGCTTTTCTGTGATATTTTAAACTAAAAGTAATATTTGTTTTTATTGAGATTAATTAGAATTTAAGTCAGTTAATCTTCCTCAAATAAAGTTTCAGAAAAGTATATTTTATTTTTTAAAGATTTTTTAATAAAGAGAATTATGTTGTCTTGTCAGATTTGCCAATCTAGCTAATTTTACCAATTTCAAAAAATAATTCCAATCAATTTATATTCAGTTTGAAATACAGCAAAGTATTTTGCTTGTTGGAAATATTAAATTTAATCTATTAGCTCCAAATTAATACTAAAATAAAGCTACAAGAAAGATTTTTCATTTTTAAAATGCATTTTAAACTTTAGATATCTTTTGATGGAGGGGGTATCTAGATTAACATATAAAAAATGCATATGTCTCAAGTAGAAATGATTTCTACAATTTGCACCTAATAGCAGCAAAATGTAATTTGCATGTAATAGAAGCAAAATATAATTTGTACCTAATATAAGCAAAATAACATGGTGATTAGTTTGCTGGGATTAAAAATGTTTCATTTAAAAATATTTAATTTTCATTATTCTGTAGTAACTTGTAGCAAACCCAAATATAAATTTAATAAATAATTATTTTAGAGCAAACTAGAAAAGATTTCAAACCATAAACATCTAACCCAACATTCATAGGATTGAGCCAACAATATCCAAATAAGTTATTATAGTATGAAAAGAAATGTCATTTTTCTGTATGACTCACCTCCAAAAATGGCTTATCTGATCCAACTAACCTTTACATAAGGAATGGTTTACCAGTAGAGTCAGAATTAAGTATTTAGTTCTCAGTGCACACACAATTTCTTGCAGAATGCACAGGTCATCAAGTCAAAGAGAGTGGACCACTTTATAACCAACCCACAGACATACATAAACTCAGTATTCTTCTTCTGTGACTGACTAATTTCTTATTCAATAAGAAATATACAGTTCTCTTCATATCTTATATCATTTGTTAAAAATAATGATTTCAATTATCAAAACCACAAAATGTGTCTTTTAGTTATTTTGTACTTGAATTGTTTGAATTTAATTTCAACAATTTTGTTTTCACTCAATTATCACAAGGTTATATTTTTTAATGGAAGGAAATTTATCTGGAATCAGAATTAAGTGAGTGTCAACTCTACCAAAATACTATGAAATATACAGACTAACACAACCTCTTTTTTAGAATAATTGTTCTATTTGCATGCATATTTCATAGAGCTATTACAGGACGGAGGTATTATCTTATACTAAACACATTTCAACTGGATCATTCTCCAACTATCTAAAGGTGTATGTAGTAAATACTATAAATACTCATTTGTTTGTAATAATCCATATATATAATTAATTTTTAACTTGTTTTTCTTTCACATTATTTTTATTGCCTTTTATCACAAGTTACATTGTAATTTTCTAACAATCTAAAATCATCAATTGAAAATAAAGAATAAGTTTTTATAATTATTAGTTTTCCTTGATTTTATTCTTTATTTCAGCCCCATTTTGATTATTTAATGAGTGTAATGTAGCAATAACAAAAATAAGATGAGAGAAAAAATAAAGTATTAGGATAATCTACATAGATGCTCAAGCAGAAACTTCATAACCATCCCTTCTTCCTGTTATTAGATATCAGATATTAATATCAAATACCAGATATTAATATCAAATATCAGATATTAGTATCAAATATCAGATATTGATATCAAATATCAGACATTGATATCAAATATCAATATCAAATATCAAATATTAATATCAAATATCAGATATTGATATCAAATATCAGATATTGATATCAAATATCAGATATTAATATCAAATATCAGACATTGATATCAAATATCAGATATTAATATCAAATATCAGATATTGATATCAAATATCAGATATTGATATTTCTATCTGGTTGTTATTTGGGATATTCTCTCAAATAAATTTTATTGGCCATTGTGAAAAATTTATTGGCCATATGGTAAAATTGATTTACATAAGTTATAAATCTATAAATATACTAAGTTTAGTACAGCAAAAGATCAGATGAGAAGAAATGAGGTTAGGTAGATTGTATTCTATCAACATTAAAAAAGTCTTGTCTATCTTATAAAGAAGTATTCAAATTTCTAGTTTTTGCTAAAAATGTAACTTTTTACTAGTAAGGAATATAACTAATTCAATCATTAGTTGAGCTACAAAACATAGGTATTTATTAAGCTTAGCTTTATTATTAATTAAAGGTACTAAGGGTGTGGAAGAATTAGGAACAGAAACATTAATGATGAGCAGGAAGAGAAGAGAGTAATCAGGAGAACAGTAGATAGCAATTGACATTGCATTTAAATTTTTGCAGATTAAAGTTGGCTGGAAAGCATGGAGCCAGAAGGAAGTTTCACAATCGAAAAGTGTGACAAAAGAAACTGTTAGCATGGAATTTATAGTTACATCTAGCCAGCTCAACTGTTAATTGATGAGATCATGATACCAATCTAGTATTGTGCTTAAATTGAAAAAGTTTAGATATCATAGCAAAGAGGTTATCTGAACAATTACCAATATGGTTCCATGGGAACAAATAAAACAATGCACTACCAGTGAGAGAGAAAGAAAAAACATGTTAAAATAAAATTATTTATATTGCTGATATAGAGAAACAAGGTGGAATGTCTCTTTGTGGGCAAGGGAAGCAATCTGGAGTATGATGAAATTGGTAGAGCCTGCTGTTGAATCTTGTGTTGTCACCATTTGTGTTTGTCACAGCCTGAAACAGCACTGAGTGTCATGAACAGGTCCTTTTAAGCAGTCAGCGTGGATACATGACTCAGTGTTTTTTGTCATACTTTTGCTTTAGTGGCAACATTTGAATTGTATTTTATATTGGGGTGGAGGATTTATTTAGCTGGATGTGATGCTAAGAGCACTTGTGCAGAAAGTGACATTTTTATTTTTAATTTTGAACAACATTTTTTATTTTTAATTTTGCTTTCATAGCATTCATATCCAGACAACAGATTTTGATGTGGAGTGAATTAGAAAAGAGATGTAATCTGAAGTAGAGTATAACAGATTTTTCAGGTGTGAAGTTGCAGCAATGTGGGACCTAGTGTTTGGTCTGAGGTCAAGTTTATTATCTCACAAAGAGATAAAAATTCTTTCATTTCTCTGAATAATCTTAATTCCTATTGTGTGAATTCTATTTTCATTTGATAATACAGAAAGATATTAACATACAATTTAAAAAGAAAAAAAATCTATTTCATATTAACCTTGGTATATTCATTTTTTTTTATTTACTTACTTGTATCCGTTCTTGTGCTATTCTGCTTTGCTTCCTTGCAATAAGAAATTGTCTTGTTGAGAAAAACATTAGCAACAGAGACAAAGCTATAAACAAAGGTCCCATCATTGATGCTCGTCCACTAAATACATTGTTAAATCCTGAAAAAAAAAAAAAATCTGAATCAATCAAAAGAAATGGTATTTTTAAAAATAAATATATAATAGTATTTTCCTTTCTTTAATGGTTATTTCTCAGAGTTTCACACTCAGTAACCCTTTGTGTCTTAGAATTAATAAATATGATAATGTCTACCAAAGCATGAAACAGATGTATTCCACAAAATATATTTAAAAACAAATAAAAAAAATTGCATTAAGATAAAGTATCTAAAAAGAAAGAAAAATGTACATTTTATGAGAGGATCAAATAAAAATTATAGAATCAGGGAATATTAAAATCATATTTGATTTAGCACCTTTACTTTTAACCCACTATTTATAATGTATTGCCCTGGTTGGAGAACTATTTTTTCAAGACTAAATAGAAAAAAATATTTGCATCTAGAAAGTAGTCTGTTCCAGTTTATTTTCCTAAAAGAGAAAATTCTTTAAGAATTAATTTTTCTGTGAACTGAAAATAAAAAGCAGTGATAAAGGGCAATTAAGGATTTCTTTAACAAAAGTGACTTTTTTCCAGAATCAAGCATTTGTATTGGAAAAAAATCATTGTTATTCTTAAAAAATATTTTAATGCAATATTCACTTGCCAAAAAAAAAAAAAGAAAAAAAGAAAGAATTATTCAATCCAAAATACATTTTGGCTTTAAATAACTCACAAAAGTTTGATAAGGTATAAATCGATCTCCTCCTCTTAGCTATGAGTTAAATAGTAGGACTTGTATTTTGAAAAATCATTGCTATTCTCAATTCTTATAATCTTACATAATAAATATGAATGACAGTGTGTCACTGTGTAACACTTTTTCCAATTTACTGCTAGAGGCTGTAGCCCAACATATCTGAACATTTTGGAATCAGGCCAACTCTGGGAGAAATTAAAAGCATTCTGGACCTGCAATACTGAAATTTAAGATTTCTAAGTTTTCATTACTGCAATTATTTTCAGCAATTTTTTACATGATTCTCTGCAACAAATTTTTTTGTATCATAACAATTTTTATAACTTGGAAATAAATTTGGGAATAATCTAAATTAATTGTGAAATCCAGTGAAAGTTACCCATGAAAGAAAAATAATTGTTTGTACAGAAAGTAAGGACCTACATGCATCAAATTATTTTCAAATTAAGTGGTGGCAGAAGAATTATCATTGAACTTTTAAAATGTAAGCTTAAAAATATTAATGCAATACTTAAATATATTGATCAATCTTGAGTTTTTTGTAGTTTATTGTTACCTATCACATCTACTCCTCCCTACCTATTGTGATGAAGGCCTAATCAAGAGCTCATGACAGGAACTAGTTTAAATGCTGCCTGATAGGGTGGCTTCTAAGCTAGTCCAAAATATTTACACTATTTATTATTTGGACTACTGTTACCCTTATTTCATCAAACAGAAAAAATCAAAATATATTTTGGCTCTAAATAACCCACAAAGAATTGATAAGCTATAAAAAATAAATTAATCAACATTTATCAATACCAAGTTATTTTTAAATTACAATGATAATGGGCAAATGAAAGGAGTGTATTTCAATTAAACATATGTTCCCACTCCTCAAAAAAACATGTCTACAATATTATGTTTCAATATACAGTAGGTCCTCACAACAATTCTTTAAATGCTGTTTCATTATAATACTGATGAGAATAAAATAAAATGTAAAATAATTTTTTTAAAAATGAATAATGATCAAATAAATACATAAACCGTATGAAATTTTTCAGTAAATGTTGATGTTAGTTTGCTATACAGTGTTTGTTTTTGTTTAGTTTTGGGATGAAAGGAAGTAAAAGATTCTACTCAATTTTTACCTTACAAATATTTATTCCTTAATGTATCTCTCTTGCAATGACAACTAAACTTCCCCTGTGCATCACTTGCTGCCTGCAGGCACCAAAAAGAGGAAAAACACTACAACATTATTTAGAAATGTTATGGCAATTTGACAATAGAGGAGAAGATATAAATATTCATCTACAAACAACAATTATACAGAAAAGTTTGCAGTGTAACACTTTCAGTTGCTACAAAAATAATTTGGAACATAATGAACACAATATTTTTGTGACTAGGAAAAAAAACTAATTTATACTGTTGAACCTATAATAAAATTACTTTTTCTTTTATGTTGTTTCACTTATACAAGGCTAAGATGGGATTCCAAAATAAACTTTGATCTTTAGTCATTTGGTTAAACTTTGAAAAATGGATCAGGCCAAAGATTTTTCACTAGACCTTTATAATAATATATCCCAAGAATCTATCAACATTAAGTGGGGGCTGGCTGTACTCACTTGAATAAATATGCAATAATTTTAATACTTCTTATAAATAATTATTAATGTTATGTTATGCTGCAAATTAGATCTATTTCTTATTCACTCTACATGCCAGCCATGAGTGCTAAGAAAGCAAAACCCAAAATAAAAAAATCATCTTCTGCACAGGGGCTCTGAGCATCACATCTAGCCCATAAAGAACAAATCCCCACAAAAATCTAAAATATGATATAAAAGCCAATCACAATTGTTGCCACCAAAGAAAAAAGATGAGCTTAAGAGCCAGCTAAATTTGTTTTTAAGAAAGCCAATCATAAATGATTGACACAGAATGCAGCCAACAGGCCAACTGTCAACACCCAGCAGCCTCTCAATGTAACCACTGTGACTTTGGTCAACTGACCCAACAAATATATCTGCTCAAGACCCACCCTCCTCTAAACACTCACACCATGCTCACATACAGACATTCTGCTCACATTCTCTGTTTTGGCAAAGTCAAATTTATGGTGAACATCAAGCTTCCACTAATCTACTCCAGGCCTCTCTCAATTTCACCACCATGACCTCTGTCAACTGACCCAACAAATACATCAACTTCAGGTTTTACCAAGACTCATCTTCCTTCAAAATCACCTTCCTTACACATTCACTGTAATAGTAACTAAAGAACCACACATCAACAATTTTATCTACTTTCTTTCCTTCTCACAGGTAGATTATTGCTGTTTTCATTTGTTCTCCCATCCAACTAGAATATCATAACATTAATTAACAGCTAATGTTCTTGTATGAGCATTGATTTGTAAAAGTAGTAAATTAACCTTGACTCACTTGTTTTCCATTAATAGCAGTTTTACTTCTTAAATCTTACTCAAACAGCTATATAGAAAAAAGGCAACAAAAATAGGATGAAATTAAAAATCTAATAATCTTTTATCACAGATGACAAAAAACAAAGAACGAAAAAAAACATTATCTGTAGATTTTTACAGATAACAAACTATATAAAGTGAGACTTGTGTTCTTTTAAGCTATAGCCAAAATTATCTAAAGGTTAACATGACATTCATGCTATTTCACCTCCACTTATGGTTAATCTCTATTGACCTCTCCTATCTTTCTTACCCAACCCTATACATAGTATTTCAAACATCAGTCATTGAACAAATAGCTCAGTATAATCACTCCTTTTTAGGTAAAGCATTACAACTTATTAGATAAAGAGGTTTGTTATTTAATTAGCCATGGTGGGTCAAGTTTAAGCATCTTGGTAGATTAACTTTGTGCGGATAAGACTTCCATATTCATTTACATTAACAGTGTTTAAAATATATAGGCTTTCTTTTCTTTCTTTACTTTCTTTTCTTTCTTTTCTTCCTTTTTTATTAGTTTTTGTTTACTTTTAACCCTTCTATTATTTTTTCTTTTCATTTGAAATGTTCCTCTAATTTTTCAATGTCAATAACAACTTTTCACATCATCTTGTACACTTTGAAAATCGCTAAATGTCACAAATAACATTGCTTGTATATCTTTTTATATTTAAAATAATTTTAATTCATCAAATGAGATTTACTTTTTAAAAAAATCACTTGTATTTACTGAGTTTTGTTCTTCTGCATTTATTATTGCAACAACAAAAGATTTCTCATTTGAACAATTTCTGTTAGTCCAATACCGTTAAACTGCTCTAACTTGGAGAATAAAACTTTTCCAATTAAATCGTGTCATCATTTTTAAGTATAAATTGAACATCACTACTGCACAAAAGTATATATCCAAGGGAAATAACTCCAGGTCTATTGCTAATTTTTCTTTTTGTTCAGAAGTTTTTCTCAAATATATAAACAGCGAAGTTTCTTCTATTAACCATAATGATGATGCTACACCAGGTTTGATTCTCATCATATGATCTTAACTGGTTGGAGGTATTAACATGTACATTTATGATGTGCTTTCACTCTGTTTGTGACTAAAGATTGAGAGGAGCATCATAGCCAGGTCAAGAAGCTTCTTTTTACCTTTAAGTTGAAAGGATGAGGCAGGCAGGTGACTTGGGAGTCACATTCAGATACTTGGGAACATTCTCATTTGGAAACTGTCTGAGTAGATTGTGTTTCCCAACATGAAGGTATTTCTAACTGGGCCCAGCCTGCAAAGTTATATGCTGCTTTTATCAAAAACTGTCATATGTGTCTAGTATACCCCTATCAGACTAGGTGACATGATGACTATATTGGGCTTGATATTTGTATGAGATTTCTTTGTTGGCATGGTCTCTGATCAGTAGAGTTAAAGCAGAAAATCTAAATTTAGCAGTATTTTTTTAAATGATAGAAGCTAAAATGAAAAAATAGACACTACTAAAATGAATGCATTTTTTCCAAAATGAAAGCAAAAACCCCCAATCTCTATCCCTTTTTAAAAATTTACCAAAAATCAGGGAATTGCCTGATTAAATTTTTCAATGAACTTTTTTGCACTTATGTATTAATGAATAAATTGCTTTCTGAATAGATTATTTTGTTAAAAAAACTTGTTAAAATTTTATTTTTTAAAAATTTTAAGAAATTAATTTTTGTTAAAAAACCTTGTGCAAATATTTTTATTTGGTTAGTTACACTCCCTTATTTCAATAGATTGGGAACACTTTTAAAATTGTGTGTTGATAAATATTTTTTTATAGTTTTAT